TCGCGATTAAATTTACAATCATTTTACTATGACTGAATATAGGTTTGTATATTGCAATGCGCTCAGTGCATGCCAGGTCATGTTTGTAAATGAGAAGTGGTTCTCAAACAGTTTATCTGGATAAATAAAGTTTAAATAAATTTAAAAAAGCTCTATGTGTAACACATTATGTACAGTTTTTTTTTTCTTTTTGTCTTCTTATGGCTTATTTTATTTTATTTATTTATGTTTTGCTGACAACTGTGACCTTATATCTATCCTTCATTCCTCATGTAGTACTCATTTGGAATGAAAATCCTTGAATTCTTGATTTAACCTCATTATTGTGCACAAAATTTAACTGTCTCAAATATGTTTGGAGCATTTTTAGGTCCTGTTTTATATTCAAAAAATCATGTCTAAGCATCAATTTTGTTTTCTAAATAAAAACATTAAAAACTAATTAATAACTCAAGTAATTTATTTTATCAATATGCAAWAGAAATRTATATTAAATTTAAGATTAATCATGATTAATTCACAGCTACTTTGGGGTTAATCAGATTAAAAGTATTAATCATTTGACAGCCCTATTATTTTTATTTTGTACTGGTTATTGTGAGTGCAWAAACATGTGCTTCTGTTGGTGGAGAGGGAGAGCACAGTTTTTATTACTGGCTTCCAGGAAAATGTGTGAATAACTTTTGCAGTACATGCATATCTGATCACTATTTGATAAAACATTAAACTTGATCACTGAATCAAGTCCTTGATTACTAAAATATTTGGTGGCAGCAGCCTTAGCTGAAATATCAAAACTGATTCGTGCACATGATGGGACCTGAACGTTTTGTACCTTATTTTATTCTCTTAGTTTCCTTTTGACCACTAAACAGAAAAGGCATGACAGACGTGAGATGCTTTTGAGTCTGAAGTTTTTGGAATGGTTTCGTTGGAACATTGATTTGAGTATGGGTTCACAAACATTTCCTGTGGATAAATAAGCTCCCAGGTTTCTTCCTAAATAAGGAAACAGAGAGGGCTCATACTTTTGGGTGCATATCTGTGCCAAATGGTATGGAACTAATCTCCACTGAGTTATTTCTCATTAAAGACGGGCCTCTGGGAGGTACATCGGTGCACAGACTGCGGACGGCGACAGGAAAGGAACTGTCTGTTCCTGCAGATGGGCTTCATTTAGCGTTGGGCAGGAATAGCTTTCTGACAGTTTTATTGCAGCCCAAACTACGTGGATAAGTAGAGACGCACGGGTTCTTTGTGCAAAGGGCAGCGGAGCCATGCGTGGAAGAATTTGTCGGCCTCACTGTCGCTGATTGACACTCTTGCAGACTCGCACACAACACGCCAATGGGATTTCGTGGAACCCAGTGACAACCCAGATGCTGATTCATGTGGCGGGCCGAACCATCATGAACCGCTCAAAAAAAATGTGTGTAATTCATCTGCTGACTGATTAATGTTTGGCGTCCATGTGGAAGTGCAGCCGCCACTTTCAGAAGAAAACAAGCACTTCTGATTTAAGCTGGGGCTGAGAAGGACCACAAATCAAGTTTGTTTTGTACAATGAAGGTGTGATGAGTAAGCCAGAGTTATTAGCTGTGTTCCACTCCAGTGATCAGAGAGTTTGTCTTGTTAGAGACCCACTAATCCAAACTTTGACTCATCTTCCTGTGGTTCAAAGCAATGAATGGCTTGACCTGCAGCAGGGAGTCTATTTAAAAGTTAAACCCATTTATTTGTGAAATAAACTTCAGATCTGAAGCTGAAGTAAAGTAATAAATTAAGCTCTCAGATGAATTTCAACAATTCATTTTTGTGACGTTTTACAGCTTGCATTTAGTACTTTAAAAAGTTTATATTTGTAGTCAAGGGCATCTAATTAATGCAGTCAGATTTCCTTACAACATTGGCAAAAGTGACAAAAAAGAGATATTAATAGAAACATCTACTGAGGTATGTTGGGTTTGAGAGAAGATTGAAAATATACGATACAACCCTAAATTGCAAAAGCAAGGCCCCCAAACCGAACAGACCCAGTCAGACTTCCTTCCTGTTGTTTATAAAGACGTAAATCACCAACATCACACTGTTTCCCCTCATAATACTTCTGGACCTGTAGAAATTTATTCCTCATGGATGCAACTGCCAGTGACTCTTCAACTTTTCCATAAAAGACCAACGCTCCTCTACCCAGTCTGAGCCACGAACAGCACTGAAAGTAGAAAATATTAACTCTGCTTTAGTCATAGCAAACATCATAAATTAGAAACAAGAAATATGTACGAGTTAAGAAACGCAGCTGGAAAGAGATGGGAATGGTTTGTTTTTACTTTACAACATTGTTTGACAGAAACTTCTCTGGCCACCCAGTGTTGAGTACAGCTCTGTCTCCAGTGTCTTCTATAAACGTGACAAATTTGTACTTATTGGTTTGGCTGTTCATTTAAATTAATTTTTAGCTTTTCACAAAGTGGTTTGATAGGTGTTGCATGTTTACCTCGTTTATTGTATATCTGTCTAACTGCAAAGAGATGTCATATTTTTTTGTCTAGTGTCCAAAAGTAGAGTTCAACTGGTAGGCATCAAACACACACACACTCATTTCTCTATGCTTGTGTGGATTTTGCATTCACTTCCATTAATTTCTACAGCCTGACCCTGTACCCTACACCTAACCTCACAGGTACATACCTAATGCTAACCTTAAATTGATTCATACCGTAGCCCTAAACCTAACTCCTGGACCACTTGTTTCCATCATGTGGACCAGACAAATGTCCACACAATGACAAAATGCATACAAGTTGTACAGATTGTCCATAATTTACATGGATTTTCCATAATATTGCATGTATACAGACGTATAGAGCAATGGCACATATTTTTCGAGTTTTAGTTGGTTTCAAATTTATTTAACATTTCCGAGCCTCTAGAACAGTGTTGTCAAACTCATTTTCACCAAGGGCCACATGAGCATTATGGTGGCCCTCGAAGGACCAGTTGTAATTTACTTTGATGTTTCATGTTTACCTTCATCTAAAAAGGAAACGYCATGTTCCTCATCTCATTGCTACGGCTGAGCTCTAACAAACAATAACTGAGCTCTACGTGGTGTTTCCTGCATAGAAACAACGTTTTAACACATCCTTCTATCAACACTGTATGACTGACTAAATGTGAAATAAATAATACAGAAATATTATAAATGAAAGTATAAGAGTTTTACTCACTGAGTTGTGGTGAGTAGCAGCCATCTTAAATTCTGAAATCTCCCACTTTCTAACAGGGAATTCCCACTGGAGGTGCATTCCACTTTAAATGTACGACTTGTAAGTGGGAAGTTCCCACTTCACAGTACAAATAGGCTGTAGCAGATRTAGCTAGCAAGAAAACAGCTAAATGTAAATTTTACATGGCCAACTGCAGGCTAATTTTGAACTCTGTGCAGCTCCACCTAGTGGTGGGATGTCGTAATTTGGCAGGTAAAATAATCATGTATTATGGGAGGTATAGTTTATGGTCAATGCTGGCTTTAAAGCATCATATGTTTATTTTAAAGCCATTAATACATCTTTGATGCTCTTGGGGGKCCACATAAAATATTGCGGAGGGCYACATTTGGCCCACGGGCCTTGAGTTTGACACATGTGCTCTAGAACATTAAAAAACAATAAATAACATCAAATAACCATCTTCAAACCTGCTCTTACCCTAGAAAGAAGTTCTCCACTTCTTCCATTCTACTTTCCTCCTGCTTTGCAGCAGGTGTCATATCCGCGGCCCCCCCACCCCACACGGGTGCGAGTAGTATGGATTCTTTGCAAAAATTACGTATTTTTGAGGCTCATTATACAGCTAAATGTCCGGAGGGGTTGACATGTATGAAAATGTCCTCATAAGTATGGTATAATGTCAAAATATTTCTATACACCAATGCATAGACATGTACACACACACACCACACACACACACACACACACACACACACACACACACACACACAGAGAGAGAGAGAGAGACCTCCGTCTTTGTCTCAGTTGATCAGCTGAAGAGATTTGTTCCACAGCTGATGAGGCCAACAAATAATGAATAGGAAGCTGTTGATCTGTAATCCCAAGTGTATACAGTCATCAGTGTGTATTTCTCACACAAAGATTTAGCTGCAGCTGTTTTTAAAATCCTGCATGCAAGATCACTGAAATCACATTTTATCTCGTCTCATTTGTTTCTCACTGTTGTGTGTCGCGGTGTGCAGTGTTTTCACGTAAACTCTGCGTGAAAGAGGGGAAAAAATGGTTTGTGGATAAAAGAAAAGGCTTTCAGATGGAGAGAGTCCRGATGTGCTCTGCATTAGACTCCTCTGTAGCGTACATACATTGCTGCATCTGCAGCAGTGACTGGCTGGTTTTGCTGAGTCAGTGAGAGTTCAGGCAGCAGTGATGAGTAAGCGCTTCTATTTATGCTCAATGCTGCCTCTCTCTGGCAGACTCTGCAGACTGCAGGCAGTGAAGGATTGCCTGAGTAAATGCAGGAAGCGTTTATCATAAACATATGTAATCATATCTCAGTTTTCCTACTCTGCAGTTTCCTTAACCGATTAATGCATGAATTGTTTCTTAGTCATTGTGGTGGCGATCAGTGGAAGTTTGACTCCATGATTATGTATTATGGTAAAATATAGATTGGTCTTTGTTTGCAGGAAGCATCCTCTGTTCGGTAACTCTCTGCAGATGTTTTCTGAGTTGCTCCTACTGTTTTTCTGATCTCTTTATTCCTCTTGTGGGAAAGTTTTCACATTTAGCTGCATGCTTTAAGTGGTGTGTACAAGTTGTAGACACAAGGAAATGATTTTCTTGACATTTGTAGTTTATGGAAAAATCATGTGCTGTACAAGTAATCTAATATACTGCACATACATATTATTCAAAGAAAAGTCAGTCATATTGTAATTTTAGTAGCATGAGATACTAAATGTGTTCTTTCTTTTCTTTTTCCCTCAGAAAAACTCTACAACTCAACAGGACGGGAGCTCCGGAGAGCCCTCTTTTCTCTGAAGCAGATTTTTCAGGTATTTTTCAAGAACATCTTTTTGTGTTTGTCATTCTTGCAGCCGTTCGTCTGCGCACGGTAACGTGCAAAAGATATATATGGGGTGTGAAAACATTAATCCGTTCACACTCATGCTTGGACACAGCGCTGTTTTCCTAAGGCAGAGGGTTTTTTTTTCCTGCTAAAAGTCTGCCTTCGTGGCAGCTGTGGAGTTTTCAGGTCTCGTCACGGCTTGGAAACAAAAGCAACAGACACMGATGAAAACCCAAAATAGATCAGTTTGCCTCATATTTTTACACTGAGTGCCTCTATAGGGTGTCCGTAATAAGGAATATTAATCTTTCTTACGCAGCCATCTCTACACTTCAGAAAATATGTGCATAAGTTTTCAAACTGTTTCCCAGTCTGTTCCTTCAGTACACCTCTGTATATTGAGCCTCTGTGCCAAATGACTGCAGTCTCCATCACTGATATATGGTAAAGATGTTCTGGAAGCACTTAAGACTTCCTCCTGAGACACGAGGAGCCCTGACCACCCCACAGTGTTTATTGCTGCCTTCCTCCACATCCCATCTGAACAGTAGAATGTATAAGAAAATGTTCAGTCCTGCAGAGAACCTGGTGCTGGCTCTTAAATTATACAGCCACAGACAGGTGTGAGACACGCAGGTGGTTTTACCATCAGCCAAAAATATGTGGGAAGTTTAGAGGCCAAATCAGCACAGATTAAATTCATAGCATTTCTCCTAAAACTTGTATACAGGTTTGCATACTGTTCCCTTCAGGGGTGATAGGTTCTGCTAGTTAGCAAGTTTCACTTCCTGTTTACTACCGCAAAGCTTGCCGCCGACGTCTGACGTAATCACGTGTTGCGTAGCCTCGTCTGACGTAATCACTTGTTGCGTAGCCTCGTCTGACGTAATCACGTGTTGCGTAGCCTCGTCTGACGTAATCACGCGTTGCGTAGCCTCGTCTGACGTAATCACGCGTTGCGTAGCCTCATTCATTCGCTTCAAACAGTCGAGAGGGAAACTAGATGGAAACAGTCTAGATTTGAATTTTTATTCAACTAATTTTTTGCGAATTTTGAAAAGGTCGATAAAAATTCACTCTACAACTGGATGGAAACACGGTTATTGTTTCTTGTTTTTTTTAAACAAACAGTACAACATAGGTTTTGTTTTACAACTGCACCACAGGTCTCCCTCAGGTAAAAACAACAGCTGACTAAACTGTTTTGTTCGACAGAGATCGTAATTTCTTCATTTCACTCGTGTAAAATTATCTGAATAAAACTAATAAAAATGTAATATATACATCACTGTTGCCACCTTTAATATTTTGAGCTTAACTTTAACATAAATGACAATGCTTGTAGTAACATTGTAAAGTTATTGCCTACATTTTTTGGTTTCAACAATCTCATATGAAACAAAAATTTGGCAGCCATCGACACTAAATCGGGTTCTCCTTTAATGAAACGTTTCGTCTCTCTCCAAGAGACTTCTTCAGTCTAAGGAGTTTCAGGTGAACTCAGCCTTATAAGCTCCGTCTCCACATGGTGGACAAACAGGTTGGTCACATGCAAAAGATGACCAACAGCCAATTAGGGTTGGGCGATAAATCGATTTAATCGATTAATTTGAATTTGCAATTTATAAAGATTTAATTTTGGAAAAACTGAGGTTTTTTTTTTTCTTTGGGGCTTCTGTAGTTCAGAGGTCACCCCACCTGTCCTGCAAGATGCTTGGTACATGACATGACAATATGGCAGCTAGCAAAGAGGCTCTACTTCTCAAAAAAGAAACTGTTTCTTCAGTTTTCTGGAACTGGTTAGGATTTGCAACCTCGAACTTGGAGCAACTAACACCTCACTGCAAAATCTGTTTAAAGGTACTGGCTACAAAAAGCAGGAGTACACCAAATTAGTTTCGACACCTGAAACAGAGGCACTCCGTTAAATGGGAAATAAATAGATTTAAAATTGAAAATCGAATTTGGGATGAAAAATATCTGAGATTTTTTTTTTTTGGACCATATTGCCCAGCCCAACAAACAATAGGTCGTTAGTGCCTTGATTGTCTCTATTGTTCATAGAGGGTCATATGTTCCATCACCTGACTATCGTTGGGGCCCTGATTCACACCTTTTTCTCACAGGGGGCGGAGTCATATTTGCAATAACAGCATTGTAAGAGGGGGATGACTGGACACGAAGGCCTCCACCTCTGTTTAATGGTGGATGGTTTTTCTTCACAAAAATGGCTTCCTTTACTCCTCTCTCAAACCAATGTTCCTCTCTAACTATAGCCTTGAATAAATAGAACATGTGTATACACTGCTGTGTGTGTCAACCGAGGGGTCATTTTTGTTTAATTCATGTTGTACAAAAGAGATCTACAGTTTTGTAATTTCCCACATTGTGTTCTGCATAAATGACTACAGAATTATGCAGCACGTTGTCATTTATTATAATTAACCAGTAATAAAATATGCAGCTATGTTTCTGTAATTTATAAGGAAATGTAATACTCTAAGCTGTAAGTGGTGTGAGTTGTGCAATGTGACAAATAAATCATCAAGAATATTTATTGTCTTTTTTTTTTTTTCATTTCAGGATGACAAAGACTTGGTGCATGAGTTCGTGGTGGCCGAAGGCCTGACGTGTTTAATAAAAGTTGGAGCCGAAGCGGATCAGAACTACCAGAATTACATCCTCAGGGGTAGGAATGATGCAGAACTGCACAGCTTTACTGCAGAAAACTGACCGGGGTGTGTTTAGTTTGACCTCATCTTAAGGATGTTTCTAATCAGTCCTGTAACGGTTCTTTCCATAAGCTCATCTACAGCCACATGTATTTATGTAAACAATGTAAATTGATGATTCTACTTGATGACCCCCCCTCACCCGCCCACACACACACACACACACGATGCAGAAACTTAAAGCCTGTAAGCAGACTCACATGTGCTGCAGATAATGTGGAAGTTCGGCCCAAATGTAGCAGCTGGTTAATTTATGGCTCCAATGAGGTGAAAGATCATTTGAGCTGAGGTTGAAGGGGGCCATGGACGTCCCCCCGTCTGTGGAGGACCACAGCTCCAAAGTCACCACCATTTAACAGCCTGCTGTGAAAATGCAGGTCACACATGCTTAAGTGTCTAATAAAGTTCTGCCAGGATATTGCAGACCATAAAACTAATTCTCTCCTCCCCTCTTCCTTTCTCTGAACATTTTTGTTTCTTATTTTTTCATTAGAATTAGTTGCATTTTGTTAGACTCATTGCACATACTGGTTTTCAGTGGTGGGCAGCGCTAATGCAAAAATTAGCTCCGCAATTTCTAAAGCACTTATTCCATAGAAAACTAGTGGAAGCTAATTTTAAAGCACAAGTTCAATTTGAGACTCACTAGCTGGCAATAATTCATGTACAATATGTGCACAACACTGCCAACTAACAGTGTATGAACTCTTTTGCAGCTTAATCCTACAACCGCCGATTGCTGGGGATGTGATTTCCTGAAACAGACCTTTGGCTCCTGGTATAAAAATTAAAAAGTTGTTGAAGATTGCTAGTTCGGCTGATTCTTTAAAAAGTTTTTGAGGATTGCTAGTTTGGCTGCTTCTTTGTCTTTTTTTGTAGATTTTTCATCAAAGAAGCATCAATAAAGTAATTTTAAATCTGTTTATTGGAAAACTGAAGCGATGCATTCTGGGTACATGACGGATTTGATTTGTGACATAAAACGAAAGCACAAGAGTACAGAAAACTATCTTCCCTTCAAAATAAGAGCTTGGATTTCAAAGTTTTCCATGTAGTTGCTCCAGTTGACCACTAGACGTCTGTCTTCGTCAGCATAACATCTTTAAATCATTTCTGAGTCTCCAACCTCGTTGTTTCGACCATTTACATCAAGCATTGAGCTCCAGTGTTTAAACTTTATTTTTTCTTTAAAAAAGGAGCTCCAATTGTAAAGTAAAATAAATCAATACATACAAAATTTTAGAATGGATTACAAACGTTAACTGTTTTTGCTATTGCCTTCCTGTTACGTAAGCAGACACAAAGCATTGTGGGAAATCAGAACCGTGACCGAAAGCAACAATCGGCAAGGATGTATACCTTTCCAATAAGTGTGTTTATWTGGGAGGGGTGCTGTTAGACAGATCACGTGTGTTGTGATTCATTGACAGGCAGCCATACCTTCTGYTGTTCAAGATRATRATGACTGGTAGATAATTAGTTATTAGCGGTACTGCAYTTTAATTTTAGAAAGTGAAAATCTGCTTATGAATTATAAAAATTAGTAAGACCGCTAAAGCATAAATGAAATATTTATGTCCGCAATTAGTGGATTTGCGCTTTAGCGGGCTGGTGCCCACCACTGCTGGTTTTCTGTTAAAGCTAAACTCCACCAAGACAAATATAAGTTCATGACCTTCAGGTTTTAAAGTAAAAAAATGTTTCAAATGCCTTTCACAGTGCAGCTGACACTGATGTTAGTTCAGTTAGAAATATTCTACAACCTGCTCATCTTTGACCTTTCCTCTAATTGAAAAGCAAAATTCAAAGAGGCTAAGGTCTGCTTCTGACGGCCCCTCGGCAGGTTCTGAACATAAACGTGACCCCCCCTCAGCAGGGCCGTGCTCCTAAATGTTTGAGGCTTCACCCAAGCTTAATCCCATCTTTGACTCAGACAGATAAATCACAAGGCTTAAATGGCCAAAACATGAAGCAGGAAGATGACAACTGGCTTTTTGGAAGCCAGAGATGACCACATGTAAGAGTTGTTAGTGTCATTCTTCTATGAAGGATGTGACCACCTCTCATATCTTCACTCCTCCTTACTGAAGTTTTTTAAACTCATCTCGGAGAAATACAATCCATCAATGCATTTCTGCTGGACTCTCTTTCCCCCTCTCTTATTTAGTTAATTTATTGCTTCATCTGATGTTGAAATACAGTTTGCTGCTCATGTTTTGTATCTCTGCATCACGGTGAGAAACCAAACTACAACTCTGTCCCAAAAGCACTTGTTTCAACTCCTGACCTAATTCCTGCTGACAAGCAGAGGAAATGCGGAGCAGAGCAGATCACCCTCCCTTGTGAGAGGCATGTGTTGGAGAGCACAAACCGAGTATGGGCTGGAACCCACATGCGCAGGTCAGAAACGCATAGATCTGGCCGCGTTGCTGCCGACGACTTCCAAAAGCATCTAAATCACAAGGATTCCCCAGAGGAGAGTAAATTGGTTGTCTGAAATGTTCACACGTGTGCGCGGAGATGCGAGGGGAGAGTGAAGCAGCTGCGACAGGTTTGGAATCGAGCGCTGATCACTTTTAATGTGGTGTTTTTTTTCTGCTGTGTCTTTCAAGTTGAGCCCAGGAGTACAAAAAAGAGAGTGAAAAAGAGAGAATTTGGCCTTGAACCCATCTGTCTGGTGTGCATTAAAAGCCTCCCGACTCAACAATCGTACTCTCTTTCATATGAACCTCCTCTTGAGCACCTTTTGTAGTTGGAAGAGACACCATCAAACACACGTCTGTCTACTTTGCTTTTTATAATCCCAATGTTTTCAGCAGTCTGCTAGTTGTTCCCAAACTTTTTATCTTCTGACCCACAAAATATCCATGACAAAAACTTGTGACCCCAAATATTACTGGTCTGA